TTGAGGGGAGTATTTTAGCTAACTCATTGGATGCACTAGTCGAGCTAATTGATGGTGATAACTATACGCTGTGAGCACGAATGTATGTGAGGTTTGAACCTGTGTGCAAGCACTGAGCTAATATTCATGCTCGGAAGATACGTAGGCTATGATATGCCTAGAGTGGGATATTGGGCTTAAAGGTATAATGTTTCTCGTATTCGTAACTTTGTTAAGAACTATCTGGACTATACTTGAGATTTCCAAGATCCTAAATTCCAAAACAAACTGGGTAATTACTAATTCTGTGTTAACTTGCTGATTTGAGCTATGACAGCGCAATTTGCTCATACCTACGATATAGAGTGTTATTTATTCCAGTAAAGGAGAATGAGAATCTTGTTTCAGTTAGCATATACATGTGTACTTGTTGGATTGCTTCTATATGATATGCTTGGACTGGAGGTCTGTGACCGTGCCAGGTGGATTATGTTATTGGAAATTAAGTTGCTCGTGAAGTTGATGTCAATGTGAGCTATAGAAGAGCCGGTTATTATTATTCTATTCATATATCTGGGTTCCACTGTGATTGACGAGCCCATAGCATATCGTTGGGGTGGTACTTGTGGAACTTGCAAAGCGGCTCTCTTCTTTGAGGTATTTTCCCTTTATAGGGCAACCGGATGGTGAAATAGTGAGGTTTACTGGTATGGCATTGTATTATGTACTTTCCCGTGGGCATGATGATTCGCTTGTGGTACTAGACATCAAATTGCGCTTGGTTGATGGTTTTGAGCATGATGACTTGGGGTGTCTCAGGTGAACTAGTGTCTAAATACCTCGCGATTAGGTTCGGGTGCTCTGTTTCTATGATGTGAGACGGATTCTCAGCCTTGTGTTATGGTGGTACTAGTGAGCTTGTGGTACAGCTCTTTGATTTGAGTCATTTTCATGAATTTAGTATACTCGGACTATTGATTATTGGCGCGCATACTGTGCGAGTTGTGGCTTAGGTATGTATTGATGTGTCATGTCACCAGAGTAGTGTGTTGGATTAGAAGAGATCAGAGGGATCACTAATGAATACAAACGGATTCAATTTCGGTATGTTGGAAGGGAAATATCGAGCTTCGACTCAGAAATTTGATGTAGCATTTGCCAAAGGAGAAAGGGCTTCATGAATGGTTGACATAAGAAACGGGTATGGCTTACAATGTGTTTTATTTACCCTTTGCAGTATATGAAGATGTTAGGATGAGACCTTAGTTGATAAGAGGTTTTCTATCGGTATTCGGTTGTTGTGTGCAACTGCTATGATTAGGAGTTATTGCTGCAAGCATTTGAGTCATGTGTTATGTTATGTAATTGCATCCGAGGTTGCAGGTATGGGTTGTTACAACTTGTTCGGGCTTATTCACAGTATAAATGTGGGATTCTGATCATATGAAGGATTTCAAAAGTGAAAATGTGGTCGTATGGTTTGTGGGCTAGATTGGATTGCAAAAATTTCAGTTACAATGTGTTGTCGGACCTATATGAGATAGGGTGACGTGGGATCACCCCCGGGTTTATGCGTGGTAAGGTTATTCAGCGATTGTTTGGCTTTTGAAACAACTCTGGGCACGTTCGAGGACGAACGTTTGTTTAAGTTGGGGAGGATGTGACGACCCGACCCGTCGTCTCATGAGTTACCGCTCCGTTTTTCCTATTTTCAGCTTCTTTATGTTTCATTGTCCGTATCTTGTGTAATAGAGTTGAGTTGGAATGGTTTTGATAAGAAATGAGACACTTAGTCTCTTTTAAGAAGGCTTAAGTTGGAAAAGTCAATCAGACGTTGACTTATGAGTTAGAGGGCTTGGATGTGAATTCCAATGGTTCGGTTAGCTCCGGGAGATGATTTGAGACTTAGGAGCGTGATCGGAATTTATTTTGGAGGCCCGGTGTAGAATTAGGCTTGAATTGGCGAAGTAGTAGTTTGACGATTTCCGGTTGATAGGTGAGATTTTGATCCGGGAGTCGGAATGGAATTCCGAGAGTTGCTGTAGCTTTATTATGTGATTTAGGATATGCGTGCAAAATTTCAAGTATTCGGACGTGGTTTAGTTGGTTTTTTTTTATCAAAAGCGTGTTTCAAAAGTTTTAGAAGAACTTAGGCTTGAATTTGAGGTAGTTTGATGGTTTTGGTGTTGTTGATGATTGGAACGAGGTTGAATAATGTTTTAGGATGCGTTGGTGTTTTTGGTTGAGGTCCCGGGGGCCTCGGGTGTGTTTCGGGTGAGTTTTGAGCGAGTACGGACATCCCGAAACTTAGATGGGGCAGTCATTTGTGCGCGGGGCGAGTGATGTGGCCCGCGGTCATGAAGATCCGCAGATCATCGGTCCAACTTCGTAAGCTCATATCTTTTGATCTACAAGGAATTGTGAGGTGATATAAATATGAAAGTTGTAGCCCTTCGTGTCTAGTTTCCAGAAAGGTAAAGATATCTCAATTTGGACATCAGTAGCAAAATTTATGGCTAAAATACTAAAGCCTGTCACTGCAGAGGAAGACCTGTGCGGCCGCGGTTGTGTTTGCGTGGACCACATTGGCTTGCGCGAACCGCGGTCGGTTTGGTGCGGCCCGCGGTAGCTGAAATCTGAGGGGGTACCTATAAATACGAGGTTTTGGATTTTATTTAATATTTTGACCTAGAGAGCTCGGATTTTGGCAATTTTTCGAAGGTTTTTCAAGAAATTCATTAGGGTAAATGATTTTAACTCAGATTTGGCTAGTATACATGAATCTATCACTGAATTCATCATTTAATTCATGAANTTATTTAATATTTTGACTTAGAGAGCTCGGACTTTTGCGATTTTTCGAAGGTTTTTCAAGAAATTCATCTGGGTAAGTCATTTTAACTCATATTTGGCTAGAATACATGAATCTATCACTGAATTCATCATTTAATTTGTCATTTGGGATGGAATTTGGGAAGAAAATTGTGAAACCTTTCAAAAATGTAAAATGATGATTTGAAGGACCAAATGGTATCAGAATTGGATAATTTTGGTATGGTTAGACTCGTGAGGGTATGAAGATTCTGAAAATTTAAATTTTACCCGATTCCGAGACGTGGGCCTGGGGCTCGGGTTTTGCTAATTTCGAGATTTTTGATATTTTTCGAATGTTTTCGCTTGGGCTATGTTCCCTTAGCATATTGTGACCTATTTGTTCTGATTTTAAATAGATTCGACGCGCGTGGAGGCCAATTTGAGAGGCAAGAGCATAGCGAGCTAGAGTTTTGGCCAGTTCGAGGTGAGTAATGATTTTAAATGATGTCCTGAGGGTTTGAAACTCCGGATTTGCACAACATAGTGCTATACTAAGTTGATATACACGCTGTGTGACGTGCGTGAGGTTCAATACTATGGGGATTGTAACTTGGTCCATCCCGAAAGATATTTTACTACATTTTTGATTGAGACATATACGTTATTATTGTGAATTGGGCTAGTTGCCATGCTTGGGGCCTTGTGCCGACCTGTAGAACCCTTAGGGGATTTTTGACTGGTTTTCCTCACTTACTTTGTTAAAGAATTTATATCCTCAGTCATGTTTCCAATTGTTTAAGAATGATATGAACCAGATTTTTGAAATGTTAATCATAAATAGGAAGAGATATGAGGGCTGAGATCCCGACCGTACATTATGCCCGAGAGGCTGTGATTTTTAAATGACTGAGAGGGGTCGAGGACCCAATATTGAGGATATTTTACATATTATGGATCGGGTTGCACGCCGCAGCAATTACATATTATTGATCGGGCTGCACGCAGTAGCAGATATATATATTACACATATTATGGATCAGGCTGCACGCCACAGCAATTACATATTATGGATCGGGCTGCACGCCGCAACAATTACTTATATGGATCGGGCTGCACGCCGCAACAATTACTTATATGGATCGAGCTGCACGCCGCAACAATTATATAGCGCTTGAGCTGAAGGAGCCTCTTCGGAGTCTGCACACCCCCAGTGAGCGCAGTCGACTGTTATTATTATGGATCAGGCTGTACGCCATAGCGATATGCGGATCGGGATGCACGCCGCAGCGGTATATATATTTATTGATTCGGTTATCGTGAGAAGTATATGAATTGAGAACTAAGGATAAGAACGAATAAATGAACTGAAATGCTTGAGGAGCTGATTTATACTGATTATATCTGTTTTACCTGGTTTAAAGAATTTCACATGATTTCCTCATTCACTGCTGCTTAAACGATTCTACTGTTTTGGTATAGAACTGCTTAGTGCCTTTACGTGATTTCATACTGTCAGCCATTATTTATTGTTATTACTCACTGGGTCGGAGTACTCACATTACTCCCTGCACCATGTGTGCAGGTACAGGTATTCCTGAGGCATAGAGCGAGCTTTCCTGCCGTTCTATTTTCATCGGAGTTATCGAGGTAGCTGCATGGTGTTCGCAGACCCGATTTCTCTTTCTATCTCCACTTATTATTCCGCATTTTAGACATATTTCTGTATTAGATTGTTAAAACCTTGTATTAGAAGCTCAGACTTGTGACACCGGATCAGTGGGCTGTTTTACAGAGATTTTTTGTGATTATGGTTTCCGCACATTTCATCCGTTAAATTCATACTTCTATTTATATTAAATTGGTATTAAATCCCGAAAATTGGTATTGAATTATAAAGAAAGAGATTGTGAGATGTTAATTGGTCGGGCTTGCCTAGCATTGTGTTGGGCACTATCACGGCCGGGGTTGGGGTCGTGACAAGTTGGTATTAGAGCCTAGGTTACTTGGTCTCGCGAGTTATGAGCTGGTTTAGTAGAGTCTCGCAGATCGGTACGGAGACGTCTGTATTTATCCTCGAGAGGCTGCAGAACCTTTAGGAAAACTTCACATTCTTGAATTCTTATCGTGCGTCCTTGATTCAGCTTGAAAAGTAATTCTTGAAATTCCTTCCACGCGTTCGTATGCGCATGAACGCTCAGTATCAGATATGCCTTGATGGCTTGTGATTCCTTGATCGAGGGGCGAGATGTAATCTCTGTGAGTTTGATGTTGGGCCAGTCTGGAGCACTTGAGGCCGAATATTTGCCTTTGGCTTGAGCACCGATGTGCTGATTGTGTGAGCAAGGATTTTTGAACTTATATGTTCGGTAGTGTCCCTATTAGTAGAAGTAATGGCTGACAACTATGTTAAGTTTATACTGTTCGCGTCATCTAACATTCCTATCAGGACATTTCTTTTCAGAGCAGGGACGCTTGTTTGTTTGTCCAGAGTCCATCAATATTAAAATTTGTTGCTCCCTAATATCAGTTGGTACAAGAGTCCTACAATTTTTAAACGTTATAAAATTCATGATCAGTAAACAAACAATAGTGCAACCATACTAAGAAATAGTTCTAATGACTTGTACCAAGAGATTCATTACAAAAACATTGGCTGAAAGTAAATATTGATTTAATTTCAGAAGGTCAGATCATTTGATCCGGTAGAAATTTTACCAAATCAAAAATACTAATTAGGAATTGCACAAATAGCATTGATCTACGTAATATATACATGGTTAAATGATCAATTTTAGCAGCTTATTAGATTCTCAAATATATTTTATATTATATGTAGCTCGTGGTAAGATAAAGCTTTTCTTCAAGTGAATACAGTTGAATGGTCACATTTGAAGTATTTAGCAACAGCATAACCAAATGAACCACTAAATGCAACTTATCTTTCACTTTGCGCAAAGTAAACTGAAACTATTTTCATATCAAAAGCAGAAAAAAATTAAGAAACCAAAAATTTTAACCACACAATAGTAGCCATATCAAACAACAAATGTATTATCTTGGGATTATCAGAAGACCAGAAATGGGAACCACATTACCTTTTGATTCCATTAAGCACATCAATAGGAAGTCCAATAATTGGTCAATTTTACATGAAGAAAATAAAGTGTTTGAACTACTTTTACGTCAAGCCTTAATTTCAAACCAACCCAAAATGTTATGTCACAATGATTTAAGTTAAATAAGCTAAGCTTTTTAGGTTTAATTTCTTTTCTCTCTTTCTTTTCGATTTTAGGTTTAATATTGTTCATCATAAAGCGTAATGAGAAGGCTCTAGGTTTAACACTTTGCAACTATTTTTTTTCCTTGGTCAAACCAAAACTTTCTTACCCTTCTAAACAGTAGTCAAAAAGAAGATTCATTTCTTGTAAAATAGTGTTTAGCTTCAGAAAGTTCAATATAGTGAGTTCTTGGGAAAACTTAATACAGCTAGATAGAATCCAATTTGTCAATGGCAGGCCGGCCCAGTTACACAAGTTGGCACATAGGATTTGTTGAGTAATGACTGCAACTAAGCTGCTTGATTGTGTAATAGCGTTAACCCCATCAAATTTGAAAGCAATACCCAATTGAATTTCAGTTGATTTTTAAAAAATCCACAGCGATTGCGAAATTGATTAATGGTGAAGCAGACCTCCAAATTATTACATAATCACACAGTTTTTCCAATTTACCCAAAATCATAATAAAGGAATAAAAGAAATTAGGGCTTTTAGCATAAGGATAAATTTTGGAGTGCAAGGGTAGAAATCAAGAGGAACAAAGTTAGTGAAAAAGAAGGGTACCTAACAGTAGCGAGAGAGAACCAAATTCACCGCCTAAGAAGAGTGTTGTTTCAGTTCACTGCATCCAAACGTTTGTTGCAACTTGCCGTAGTTATCTTACTGAGCGAGTGTTTTAACAGAAGAGAGTGAGAGCGAAACACGTGTGCAAATTAGAGACGGTGGAATTTTACTGAGTTGCAAATAACTATCTTTTTAGATTTTTATTTTTTCATGGGTTGGCATGTGGTGAAAGGCCAAAGAAGCATTTGGGCCAGACAGGCATGTTGATGACACTGACAGGTGCAGAGAGGTTACTCGGAAGAAGTTCAAAAATTCTGTGCGTTGTTATCTCATAGACAGCATGGTCAACCAACTTTAGCAACGTGTTGCTGTACGGAAGCGCAGGGAAATTTCTCATAGCACAAAAGGCAGATGAAAATACCTAACTGCCTTCATGCCGGCAAGCATAGATGACAAGGGTCTTCTGCTTGCTCTAGGGCTCTTCTATGTAGTTAGAAAGAATAAAGAGCAATTCCGATCTGCAATGGAAAATTGATGCATTTTATGATTAATAGATCCTTAGCTTTCTCTATCTTGACTAAATTAGGGAACAACAGAATACCAAGACGATTTTATGTTACTATACTATAACAATGTTCAAGCATAAATAACGATAAAGACTACAAATAAAAGTGTCGAAGCAGGTCTTACAGTGAGAAGGTGTTTAACTTTGGGCGTATTACTACAGGAATCACAATCCTCTTTCTAGATTATTGAGGACGAAGCAGATAAAATTCTAACTTTTATCAATTTCTCATATTCCCAAACCCTAGCACCATCCACCAATTTTTTCCAAAAAGAAATCGCAATCTTACAATCTTAAAATATATTACACCAAGACCAGCCCTTTCACACAGGAAAATACAATAAATTACACAATTGAGAAATCCCATGATACAGAGAAATTAAGAGAGAGATGTGATCGAATAGCAAAAAAGACAACTAAATGAGGAAAACTTATATTACCAATTATGGTACAACTCTTCTGAGTGAAACCCCTTGCTGCACAAAGTTGTGAGAAAGAAGAACATTTACCCTTGCTGCAGAAGAAGAGCAGGGAAAAATAAACCTCGTATAAAGTTTTAGCTAGATTAGCACCAACGTTACCTCCAACTGTCAGGAGAAAAGTCCACGTGCTCTGCTATTAATATACTGGCTCAGCAAAAGAGGCAAAGCCTACAACTTTTAGAGCTATTTTACCTATATAAGTGGTGTCACACCTCCTTTTTCCGCTCCCGCGGGGTACGTAGAGA